TGATTCCCTCTATTGCTTCCTCCCTCTTTCGCTCGAACGCCACGGAATATTTTCCGTTTCCGTTCGGGTCGCGTACGATTCGACGCCACGACTTTTCGTTACTTTTCGCTCGTTGTAAACTTAATGCACCAATCCATCTTAAATTAATCCCGGTTCCACCATTCGACGAGCGACGCGCGTCGAAACGTTTAATTGGCCAATGAACACGGTCGCCGTTCGTCGGTGAACAATATTTACCCATGACCATAATTATATTACTTTTTACCTTTGTAGATTCGTGGAAAATCAATATCCAACCGTGCAATGGGAAATTGAAAATCGTTTGGTCGGCGGTGGATGTGTATCGTATATCCGCGAGAAAACTTGGATGGATGGTGGTTCCGTTCATGCAGGAAAAATTTCGACGAGTATATGTAGGAAACTAATATGTAGTTGGAATTATGTAGTTGGAAAGTCTGGCCGGGTGCGATGGAACGAGGGTGTTGCACGCGCGCGGGAAAGCTCAATCTATGTATACCAGATTTTCCCTTCTTCGGCCACTTCCGGTCGCTCGCGTGCCACAATTCTCTATCGTCCGCATCTGGATCTTCTGCTGCGTTTCGTCGATCTTGGCCTCGTAACCCCGATCTCGTGATCGAAAAGACCTTGGTTCGCGAGCGTAAAGTCACGCAAAACGCATCCTCGCGTACGAAAATAATCTGGGAAACATTCTACGGGTTAAGTAAACGTGTATCGATTTGCAAACGAAGCAGCCAACCGTCGAATCGCGAAGCCCTCCGCTGCCCCTTTACGTCGAGGGTGTGAAATGAGAATTCGATGTGTCTAATGTGCTGATCGTTGCGTCTTAAAATCTCCTCTAGTCGCTAGGGGCAGAGGGAGGGACCGGCGGGGGGGGGGGGGGTCAGGGACAAGCTGCAAAGTCTGTCGAAAGAAAGGCGTTGCGTCGAGTCGAGTCGAGTCGCGTCGCGTAGCGTCGCGTCGGCAGGAGTAACCCGAAGGTAGAGGGTCTTCCGTTAGTTGATCGTCTTCCGGTGACTTCCGGTGGCCTCTAACGAGGGACAATGGTTTTGGTACACGGTGTGCACGCGGCGCACAACAATCGCGTCTCAAGTTCCTCGAGGCAGGAGGGCGGTGCTCCTGTGCTTCATAGAGAGCTAGTACGCACTCTCCTTTCCTCTCCTCTCGTTTCTTTCTTCTGCTCGACTACTTACGCCACATCAACGTGGCTCTCAATGGCACATTAGAGGGCAGCGCTTCGGAAGGCAGCCAAGGCGTGTGCGTACACAACGCGGAGAACCAACTCGACTCGAACGCAAATTATAGACTCTCGGGACGACCGTTGAGGCGACTTCAGCCGACGTGGATTCACCAATCGCTATTTCGGGCACTCACGGACATACGTGCTCGTTTCCAAGTGTACGCAACGCCCATTCACGGACACGCACGTCTCTCGATCCTTTTCATCGAGCGTATCGCGTTCGAATGATTATTTCTCTTCTCTCTCTTCCTCCCTCGTCCTTGTCGCCTTTCTTTTGCTCGAGTCTTTGTCGAAAGACGCGCAAATCGCTTTGGGGTAGATCAAGAAGTCGACTAACACGGTCTCCTGGAAGACCACTCGAGCAGCAGCCGATTGTTTGATCGCATCGAGGACTGATTTCATTCTTATTTCTTCCTCGACGAGTATATTCTCGGCGTTAGCTACTTCTTTCTATTACCGCGACCGTTAACGGTTAACGACGAATTTGGCCGAGGCGAGGAGTCTCCGCTACTTACGGGACCTGGACCGTCGCGTCGTCACGATCGTATCCTGGGCTGCCCCCAACCATTTTTACAATTACATACTCTGTTCCACGTCCGAGTTTATTTTAAACACTTTAGACGAAACAACGAATTCCCGTCGGAGGATCGACGATGAAATTTCGTAATTTATCGTTAATCGCGAACGATCGCGAGAAAACAATACCGATCGCGAGATTTTGCTGCGTATCTTGCTGGCGTCGTTTGACAAGCGACAGGCGGTGACACGCCTGTAAAATTGCTTCTCCGATACAGCAAAAGTTGCCGGGCTCGGCGAGCACATAGGAGACAATTTTCGGGGGGTGTGAAAAATATTAATAACTCCGCTGTTGCAGTAAGGGACGCGAAGGGCTTTCGAGTAAGGGATGGCATAGAGTCGGAGATCGGGGAGGAGGCTAGGGGGGGTTCATGGTGGTAGTGGTGGTGGTGGTGGTGGTGGTGGTGCTGCTGGTGGTGGTGGTGGTGGCTGGGTCAGAGGTGGGGGTGGCAAGTGTTTCTGTCAGTTTAATAGCTTCGCACCTCCTCCCCTCTTTTGCCATCACCGACTCACCCCACATGCGCACATTTTGCCACCGACATTACGGCATCGTCACTCTACGTGTCAGAAGTTGCGCTAGACCTAGAACCTCTGCTTAGATCTGATAACCCTTTGATACTCCAGTTATTTATTACCCCTCCGCCATCGCAATCATCGACAACGTCGACGTCGACGTCGACGTCCTACGTCCCACGCTCCCGAATCGATCAAATCCGTTCTCGGTCGGAACGTCCACGGTCGGGAATAAACCCTCTACGCAACTTTCAAGGTACTGTTTTATCGGTCCAACCCCGAACAACCAATCACACGAACTTTCATTCATCGATGATTATCAATACGTATCTTGGACAGGAGTCTCGAAACTATCATATTTATGCGTGGAATATTGGGTGGAATTAAAACGCAACTAGAACAACCGGTACAAGTAAACTTAATGGAAATTTTTATCTACTGTTTTGCGAAACACCGTCCTATTTTTCTTGATCGTGTCGTTTGTCACGGGAACCTTGTAAGAACACGCGATTACACGAGCACGAGGCGAAGGTTGGCAAAAAAGGTGATATCTACGTTCGAGGAAGGGTAGAAGGAGAAGACATTTTTATGCCGGTGTAAATCAAGTTGCACCCCCCGTCCGCTTCCAAATATTACGCGAACGACGCTCGTATTGAATGAACGAAGGGTACCGGCGTTGCCAGCCATAAAGAATGATATTACTACATGCGACACATGTCTTCCTGCCTCCGAAACGCTTTCGTATCGCCTTTGCAGCCTTCTTGTTCGCACAATTTTCTAGCAGGCAGAAAATGAAGATTTGTGTCCGCGTATATCGTTCCCTAGTCATTTTCGCGGTTGTTTCTCTGGCTGTTTGAGTCACGAGCCTGCGCGTCGGATCGCGCGGTTGCGCTCCTGTCTTCGAAGAAATTTTTAACGCGGACCGATTCAGCCGTCCGAACGAATAACCGACAGTAAAATTTTTTACATATGTTTTCGTGGAATCGAACCTACGACACGAAATAACGGACATTTTTACCAGACGGTTCGAAGATATACAGGGTGTTCGGCCACCCTTGGGACAAATTTTACTGGGAGATTCTAGAGGCAAAAATAAGACGAAAATGTATGCTAGTATACCCTGTATACTAGTTTCGGTTACGCGTTTCCGTTGAGGGAAACGTTATTCGAACGCTGTCTCGAAAGAGCGGCTGAAAAACTGGCAAGGCACAGCGAAATTTCCGAAATCTTATTCCTTCGATCGAGTTCAAAGCCGATCTGACGAACGGTTCGTGGAGCATACCGCAATGAATTGTGAAAAGTGGTCCAGGAAAAAAATTTCAGACGAGCTTGTGACAGCTACTTTCCGAAGAAAAAGGTGACCGAGCCTGTCCAATAAAGACTTGGATGGCTGTTCCACTGACCCTGACTCTGCGTGGGGTCCTCTCCGTCTTCCATGTTCTTTCCAGTACATTTCGATCGAGGGTTCGCGCGATGGAAGAAATTTTTTCGCACCCTGACATTTGACCTCCGGTTGCCGGCAACTTAGGTCCACTTTCTGTTCTTTCGTGAAAAAGTTTCAAGCGCTCGGGTTACAGGTTGAAAGTACCGGATCGTGTGTAGAAAAATAATCGAAGAATTTCAAACGTACCCGTCGTCATCTAGGGGGTTTGATAGATGAAATTTAACTGTTTTTTAATTCATCGAGTTTCATTCGGAAACACGCGAGCCGTAGTTTAACCATGATAAGATAAAAATGTTTGACTCTGGCAATTTCATGTGTTCGATCACAAAACTATTAAGCAGAGTACTTAATATCGATTGGGTTTACGCGGTTCTTTGGAAATAAAGGTATCTGATTGGTAAGATCGACCGAAAGATGTTCCCGAATCGGAAAGGATGTCCATTATATGCGCGATTGAACTGAAGTTTCACGTTGAGCGTAGCAGCGTGTCTCGTTCGTTATCAGAGTCACGTTCTGGCGACGCGACGGTCTCTCGCAATCAGAGTCACTCAGCAGTCGCAGCGAGTTCCTCCAGCACTGTAACTTCATCTCTTATCTCGGTCGCGTCCTCTTGCTCGCACTCTCGAGGGATGCTGTGGTGAACTGGTGGGGATCCGAATGCGATAGGGGTTGCTCCGCCCGTGGGCCAACCAGAGCTCTCGATGGAAACGGCTCCGCCACACCCCGTGGATCGTCCCTGGCTTCCCTCGGGAACCCTCGTTGTGCCATCCTCTTCTCAACAGATTTTGGATCCTCTAGTCTGCCAAGAGCCAGCTGACACGAAGCAGCGCTCGTCTGGTCATCCGTTTCTTATTTTCCGTCCTGTTTTCTCCCGACTGCGCGGTTTTCGATCTCGTTCTCCGCGTTTACGTTCTCTTCGGGCTACTCCCCGTGACCATCGTTCCGACCACCCCACCGGGCCGGCTACAAGTCTACGAACAACCTTTTATCGGTACTCGCAACGATCGTGCCTATCGATCGATCGGTCGATCGATCGATCGATCCGTCGATCGATCATGAACGCGATTAACCTGGAATTTCTCGCGACTCTTTCGCCCGTGGGATTGTGTTGATCTGTGAGACTTTGGTGATGGAACATGTGTCGACAGTGATTTTACGTTCGTCCAAAGAAGAGAAGAGTTCCGGTATCGGAAACTTTGTTACGCGCGTATGAACGGTCTCGATCTGTCTCGGCCTCTGGGCGACTACAACATGAACGGTACGTTTCGAACCCTTGCGCTTTTTTTCTTAATACGTTTTGTCTTACCATGTATGAAATATGTAGTAGGAAATAAAATCACGATCGAACGGACGATCGACGGTGAAATTGTTTACATTTCGTAGCGCATGATTTATTTATTATTTATACTTATCATCTACCTATTTTTATCGAATTCAATTTCGATTCAACGATCGCCTGATCCGTCGATCATCTATTACGTTCTCGATCAGACCCGATAGTATCGTTATATTCTTCGAATGTAATTTAAATCGTTACTTTTATTTACGGCGGTCCTTACGTTTCTTAACGTTTCAACTTTAAACGCGTCACGGTCGGTTTTATTATAAATCAGCATCGTATCTCCGGGTATCTACGAAAGGAAGTCGAACCGCAGCCTGTCCGGAAACCAGACTGCAGAGATTCGTTTCTCTATTCAATTTGGTTTACCATCTACTGGCAATTCCGCGACACCCTGATAATGTTATCACCGCTGCAGGATAGTTTGTTACCGCAGGATCGGACCGCGACCGGTTCCTTCTAATTAGCCCGATCCTCGGGACGAGCTTCGCTGCTCTTCGGCGGAGTTGTTCTCGTCGGAGGATACACGCGTTAATGGTCACCGCGGGGCGGGCGCGCCGTACGTTTTCCATCAGGATCTCCGTATCGCCAGGATGTCCTGTGCGGTCACAGCAACACAGTCTACGCGCCTGCGAACACACATTTCACGGCGCAATCGCTCTTCCGACACCCCGTTGCTTGCTCGCCAATTTGTTTAATTATCTTTTCCGGGATCCGTCGACGAATATCTCCCAACCGTTCTCTGCTAGTTGGACGTTTTTCTACGGCGGAACAATTCCGATTCAACCACGAACAATTTCGCTCGAAACAACTCGCGTTATTTCCACGTTTCTCTCGGTCAACGAACAACCAACGACGTATTATCTCGGTGCGGAACGAGACCTATCGATCCTCGATTACACTTTTCTACATTCTTTCGTCTTTCTGGCCAAAGAGAACCCGATAGCTTAAAACGCAACATTATTGCATGGAACTGTACATAGAAACTGTTTAGGGTGTTGCAATAGAATACGATTTCACGTAAAATAATCAAGTGCATAGCAGTCGTGAGTACGTTTTAATGTCTGTTTATACTCGTCGAGAAAGAGCCGGGTATACGTGTAAGAAAAAAAAGTGGTAGTCAAGACAGTCTTCCCACGAGAAATTTCGATTTTTCTAAGCAGCGGCACTTGAACCCTAATCGCGCTGGAAGCCTCTTCAGTTGCTATCATCGAGTATAATATCGCTCATGGTTCAACGAGTAAGTACTCGTAGTTTTGTCAAAGGGAGAAAGTAGCACTTGAACACTTGTGTCCCACAGGAGTCAAAGACCCCTGACGCCGAGCGTTCTCCAAATATTGTTGTATCGCGTATCGATTGTTTAGTCGCGCGAGAGGATCTCGCGTTTCTTATCCAGTCCACGAAATCGTGTTTATTTTATCGACCGGACCGGATTTTCGTTAATAGAATCGGAGCCGTGGAAGCACGATTACCCCCTTTCTCCTCCCCGATGCTACTTTACGATTATATTTTAAGGATCCGAGGATTCCGTTGGCTCGCCAATGATATCGAGAGACATTATTCCGTGCTAGGCGAGGCGTGCACGTCTGTAATATCTGTATTATCGTCCGTCTTCGAGTTGCGTGTCGATTAGCCCACTCCGCAGGATAACCGTTTTCTTTTACGACTAGTTTGCGCCAACACAAGTCGAGGGATCCTTAAGCCTCGTGGTGTTTGCTTTTCGACCATTTCGTCGTAAATTCGTGGACATTTTTTCCGATCGATTTGGATTATAGTCTTTAGCGATATTTAAACGCAGCTAGGGATTTGGCAAAAGATGATTTACACCCGTGTAAAAACATAATGCTAAATTTTGTTTGATAAATTATAGCCGAGTTGAACTGTGATCGTTGAAACTATATTTGTACAATTCTTGTAAACGGATGTCGCGTTTGAAAATATTCAATAACGAACGAATCGAGAGTTTTCGGTCGCAAAAATTTATAAAAGATGGACGTCGCGAACGGCGCACCGAGCGAATAGCCGCCTTTGTGCCTTTCTCTCGAATACACCTGCGAGTTTGTCGGCAATTTTGCTCAAACTGGCGGATTCACAGAGAGCTTACGCTGTTTGCAGAGGACCGTCGATCGTCGCAGGTCCCCGCGTCACTACGTAGACGCGCATAGAATTCATAGTTTGTTTCTAGATAGCTGATACAACGAGCCGAGGATATCTTTCGATTCGAAGATAAGTCGGGTATTAGAAGGGCCCGTCGTATCCGGTCCGGAGTTATACAAATAAATCCAGATTCGAAGAACAGGACGAAGCCCGTCCTACGGTTCCAAGTACCGCGGCCAAAGAGAAATTAGAAACCGTGAATAGACTATTACCGCGAGATAAAGGGAAGAAAGAGATACGTACGTTGCTAGAATTTCGTCAACGATCGTTGACAAGCAACTTGGTTGATATTTACTTGATCTGTTGCTTGTAATCGTATATGTTGTTTGCGATCGTCGTTATCGAATGCTTGGCAAGCGTAATCTTTTCCGTAAGGAATAAAGTTCATTACAAGAATAACGGCTACTATTTTCTCGGAAACGATCAATCGATAGGATCGCGTTTTAAAATGATTCCATCTCCTTCTTCTCCCCGTTCGATCGCACACTCTTGGTGACGGTCCTCTTGGCTCTAGCGAGTCTCCGCTCGTGCAAATCTCCTCGGGTAAATTGAATTTTTGTCGTCGACGTAATCTCCAAATCGTTTTCCTCGGTGCGAATGCATCCCAGTCGTGCGAATGTGGGTGGCTCGACCTCTCGACCGACCGACGTGACGCTACGCGACGCGACGCGACGCGACGCGACGCGACGCGACGCGACGCGACGACGATCGGTTGGAACGAAACGAAACGGAACGGAACGTGGCCAGGCAATCGATGCCGGAACTTTAAACCTCTTTCTAGGTGACGGCGTTCTTTCGCCTTAAAACGCGGCCCGAACTCTCGTTAAATCAGCATCGTTTGTTTCTAAGTCGGCGGCGTTGCGTTCCAGGAAGCAGCGACGAAGGCGATTCGACGTCTGGCACGCTGGTCAGCGGTGGCACGGGAGTCGCCGAAAACGCGAAAATGGACGATCAGCATAGACCGCCGTCGTCCAGAGAAGAGGACAAGTCCCCGTGGGACTACAGGACCGAAGCGTACCGTGAGTGGCGGAATTAGATTTTTCTCTTTTACAGAAAATTACCGCTCGAACCCCGTTCGCGAACCGCGGCAGCTAATTGCGTAAATTAGAATACTGGGTCGACCGCGCGGCACTTAATGTTACGAATTACGGTGTAAATTATCGCGAGACGTGGCGCTTAATTGTCTGCATTAGAATAGTAGGTTATCGCAGTGGGTCGTCGCGAGCGGTTATCGAGAGGATTTAATTTACTAAATTGCAATATAATCGCCACGAACATTGTGGCATTTAATCGTACAGCCTGGATCGCGTCGTGGTGGTTACTTTGAGTTCTCGCGAGGGTATAACGCGTCTGTATCAGCAGCAAACGATTTAGCCGATAATCTTGTTTGATTCGCAGAGGACGCGTTGAAGCAAAAGGAGCAATCGAACCGCGAATGGGTATCACCCGTGCCGGAAGTCGAGGTGGGTGGTTCGGCGGCCGGCGGTCCTCAAGTTCGTGCGCGGAAGGACATTCCACGGGGTGCGAGGTTTGGTCCTTTCCTCGCGAAATGGGCAAGCGAGCCTTACAACCCCCGCTACGCTTGGGAGGTGAGTTGTATATTTCTTGTACGATTCGTATCGCTTTCGTCGCCATCGCCATCGCCGTTGTCGTCCTCGCTGACGTTCACGTCGTCCTTAACGAATTCACGAATGCTCGATCGGAGCTACTTTTATCGAGATGCCGAAGGTAATTATCGACTACTCTTCGTTCGGTCGAATCAAAATATTTCATCAAATATACAAGTACTAATTTCACCCTGATACCCCATCTCGCACGAGATTATTCCGACGAAACCGTTTGAAAGATGATCGATCTGTTTATGGTTCATGATCCAGAAGGAGGAATACTCTGCTTCGAATCAATGTCGATGGGTTTCCTATCCTCCTGTTATAATCCCCGGTATTATCCGGCAGATGCTGAAGATGGAAAAGCAGTACGAGAGAGGGAAACGGACGGACAGAATCGTATTCTCGGTTCGACGGTAGACAGCTGGTCGGTTCGGTCGCATCGAAGGTGTCATCCGTGTTGACGGATCTGTCAATTGGCTTACCTCGGACAGTTCTCTCTCTCTCTCTCTCTCTCTCTCTCTCTCTCTCTCTCTCTCTCTCTCTCTTGTTACAGTTCCCGAAATTCTGAAAATTGTGAACGCTCTCCGTCGACTCGTCCACTCCCGAGTAGAACCTAAAATCGGTACACAATGTTAAATCCAAAGAAACAGTGCTTGTATCGCTTCTATCTTATCTTAATTCGCAGCTTTTTTCTCCGCTTCTGTAAAAAGATTTTTCTCGGTAATTGCAAAAAAAGTTTATTATCAAATCGATTGAAATTGTCGTTGAAAAATGTTTCTTCGTTGCTCTGGTTCCGATGATTCTCGAGGGGAAAAACGTTGCTCGTTATGAAACAAGATTACGGCTCGAACAGAGTTGCTAACTAGCCGCGTACCGGTCCAGAGGGTGTGATAGATATGATAGCGACCAGCGTTATGTTACGTTAGCGCATGTCGCACTGACAAAATGTAAATGGCACCATCCATCTAACTGCCGACAAAAAGGCAGCCGGAGCCAACTGTCGGACCGGCGATTACGGAATCGATTAAAGCCAAACTACCCCTTCGTTTCGTCGGACCGATCTATCAACCCCACGCGCGTAAACGTGCTAGCACACGAGCGGAGAAAACATCGCGACAGTGAAATCTAGCCGTGAATTCTCACTCTATACATATGTATATTTCGCCGCGTTCTTTAAATCAAGGCGAGGATAATTAGGAATAGTTATCGATGCAAAATTTTAGTATTTTTCTTAGCCTGCGGTACAAATATTCCACGCGTAACGAAGTAGAAGAAATGGGGCTGGAAACGCGAATTACGTTCCAGCGGCGGTGACGAAACGAACGGTTGACAGAAAGCGTGACCCTTTTCTGAAATTGGAGAAATATGGAAGGGATCCCTTTCGATCGATTCGCACGGTATCCCCTAATCCTAATCCTTTTCTCGCATTCTCAGGGAAAGAGGCGAGGTTCTCGCGCAACGGAACGAAAGGGAAACTGGAACGATCTAATCCGAATAATCGATAAACTATTATCGGTAGAATCGCAAAGTTCCGATGGAAATATCAAGAACGCGCGTACGTCCGTGTACGAGACTCGGAACAGGAGAAGACACCGAAGAATTAAGCGTGTATCGCGTCTGAATGGGATTCGATCGAAAAGGGGGATAGAAGGAAAAAAAAAACAACTGTAAAACCGAAATCTTTCCTCAAATTTCGTGGAAAGTTATTCGTCGTGTACACACCTGAAGCAGAACCGAAGCAGGGAAGCGTCGTTGTATCGGAGGGTAGCAGGATTCGAGGTATCGGTGATACCCTACCTGCCGTCCTGACCAAGCTTCGTTTTTCGTATCCTCCCGAGAGGATGGGGTGGGAAGTGGAAAACGGGGGATTCTCTGTTCCGGGTGCATTTTGCTCGGTGACGCGTGTTCCGCAAAACTGCCGACTCGCGGCGTGCCTTCGTGGCGACTAAACCAATCCGAGGCTTAGTTCAGTCGCCTGAAAGACCCTCGCGTCGGATATGGCTCCAATTTACCGAACGATCTCGAGAACTCGCCTTAAATGATCAATCCCGTGCCCCGTTTATCGCACCGATTCTTCCGCGTCTCTTAATCGTCTTTAATTCTATCCTACCAAACGTCCTCGTATCCCACGAGTAACACCACTGATACTTGTAATACGAATAAAAATATCATATAAACTTGACGGTTATTACGAACACGCGGCAAGGGAAACGTCCAGTTTTTATAGGGAAATACAACAGGTTTTAATGTTTGAAGGGTGTATGCATTCCTATATGCAAATAATATGTTTCAATCGTATCGTTAATGGGACGCGTTGCTCGCGAGAAGAAACGATATCCACTTTTAGGAGTTTTTTAACGTTTATCCCGGTTCTCGAGATTCCTCTTGCTCGATACCGTTTATTTCCGTGTGTGACACGAGGGTCGTTCGCTTACGGGCTTGCCAGAAAGCAGCCCGTCCCCCGTCTGCCCTCTTTTCTCTGGTCGCTCGCTCATCGGCATATTGGAAGCATCGTCAATTTTTCCACGCGATCGCTGACGGCCCCCTCTTCTCTCCACGCGAATACGAGCCGCTGCCGCCGCCGCCGCCGCCGCCGCCGCCGCCGCCGCCGCCGGCTGGCTTTTCGAACGGCCACGAGGGAGAGAAAGAAAAAAGAACGGAAGATCGGTTGTTTTTCATATCGAAGCGAGTACACGCGCCTCGCTGATCGTGCGGACCACTTTTTCGACAAATCGGCTGGAAGGCTGCGCCATTAGCGGCGTATGTCGCTGACAAATCATATAAATGGCGACGCTCGGCGAAGCGTGTCCTCGCGCGAACCGCACGAGCCACCCCGGTGTTCGTAATGAGACAACTCGAAGCCGCAAAAAGCGTGATCGTGTATTTCGAATACGTATTCCAGCCGAATCACGGTTCGTAACATTTCGCGCGTTACTTGATCGCTGTCAACGAGACCGTGTAAACGCACCCTTCTTCTCCAATTCCCTCGAGACGATCTTCGCTCAAACAACAATGTCTTCTCGACGGAGTTACTTACTTCCCCTACACGCCTACCATTTAAGACGAATCCGCTACCCGGCCGACATAATTCTCGAGTAACAACGTAGGTGGTGCCGAGGGTAGTACGTACGTATTGTAGATGTTATATTAAATTCTTACCCGGGCTAGGAGCACGTATTCTAGACAATCGACGCGTCCGTCGTTCCGAGCTTTACAATGCGGAACACCGGTGTCCATTGTTCGTGGACATTGTCCAGGTGAACTGGTCTTTAGGGCGTTGCAGGAGGTCAAGCCCCGGAAGTGATTCGACAATGAGCCACATTATACCGAGTCCTCCTTCCCCCTTCCCTTCTCCACCTTCTCTTCCTTCTCGATTCAACGACGTTCTTATTGACTCGGCCGGCCGGCGTGTACGATAGCACGACGACAACACGCAGATTTTTTTATTCCTACGTCACTGCGCACGATTCTTGCTCGTCGGACGAAGAATCGACGCGGCGCGACGGTGACCTTTGGTTTCTCAGAGGCGTAGGGTTACGCGGCCGGTGATGTTCACCGTTTGAATTTGAAATCGGAGAAAGAAGCGACGAAGGGAAAGTGAGCGTTCCGCGGCCGGAACCAGCAGAGGAGAATCGGCAGGAAACAAGTGACAATCAGTGACGCCGCGCCGGGAATGTCCGGCATTGTGATGTCCGCGAACGGTCAGACATGCCAGGACGTCAAAAAATCCCCTGGACATCTATGCGAATTTACCGGCAAAGGGGATGACTCAGCCTCGTAGTAGCAGCAGCTTTTTGCACCCCTTGCACCCGGAAGTATACTTTTCTTCTCTTGGAATTCGCTCGGAAGTAGGACGTACTTACTTACCATCGTCCACTACTCGCCTGCCTGAATTTCGCTTTCGTTCGATGCGTTTTATTTTCCTTCGTTCCGAAACGATACGACATTTTTTCCTCGAAGCTCGTTGAAGCGCGACCACAGGAAAATTGCACGAGGAAAAGTGAAAAAATAAAATAAGACATATCGTTCCTTATCCCTCGGAACAACGAGAATGCAAGCAAGGGTCACTGGCTAACTAGCCCTTTCTCGAGGATCGGGTTTTTGATTGACGGGTTTTGGCCATGCTTGTACGCGGCTGCGCTGCACCTTCTCCTACTATGCTAATAAACCTTACGATACAGCTTTGTGCGTCCGAAATCGTTAAAGCGTATATTTTGACATTTAAATTTAACGGCAGCAAGTTCTGCATTCGGCCCTTCTTCTCCATTAACCCTTAGACCGGGCAGGGGGTTTTGAAAAAATAAAAGAAAGTTTGGCGACTCGCTTCGTAACATTTCTCTTGGACGCGATTGCTACGCTTGTCTCCTCCGTGAACCTATAAATTCCGTTTTCGCAAAGACCGCTCTGCTCTCTGTATATGTATGTACACTTTATCGAAACGATCGTCGCGCGTGCTTCGACTATATAAGGTTTTAACCGGGCTTTCTTTCTGCCAAACCAGCTGTAAACCTAGCTCTTCTCGCTTTGCCACCCCATCCTGCCCTCGGTTTCTCGTTTCTCTGGGGTGGCAACGGAGGGTGATAAATCTCGTCCGCTCGTTACCCCACTATCTTTCGATAATAGACATAACAGACACGTGTTGCCTAGTCGTCAGGCTGACCCGGCTATCCCGTACAAAGGAGACGCGTCGTCGGCATCATCGTCTTCAAAAGACATTGCTTCTTACATTGCTTCTGGTCTTTTCGTCCCTCGACGCTCCAACCTTGGACCCGTTTTAATTTACTATCCTCGTGGAACAACACAACTCGGGACCTGCTGAAAATAGATGAAAAAGATTCCTGATTAAACGCACGAGCGTGCGAGGCTTAGGCGGTGGCTCGAAAACTTTGCTAGTCGATAAGAAACACAGCGTGGCGCGTCCCTGGTTTCTCTCCTTGTCACCGTGCTCTGCTCTTCTCGCCCTCTTTCTCTTTGTCCCT